GGTGCGAACTGTTGAAATTGTAACAATCAAGCGACAAACCAAACCAAACCAAAACGAAGTAAAAGTATCTGAAAATGGTAGAAGTATCTCACAAGCGCACACATTCCTGAGTAACGAAGGCAGGCAAGCAGGCAAGCAGAGAGGCAAACAAACGAAAGGAACAAAAATTGCAATTGTCACCTTCATTTGTCACGTCAAAAGTACAAATGAAGCTACATGGTTCGCCACTGTACACTGGCACCACTCGACAATCGTCATGGCTTGAAACTTTGTGTCAAAGCTTGCTCCCTTCATGCTTACGTTTGTGTTTTTTTCGAGATTTTCCAACACTTTTTCTCATTGTGTTTCTTCCTTTTTCGATATTACAACGTAACGAAACAAACCTTATTACGTTTTGTAATCTATGATCCTTTGACAAATGCAACACAAGTGTCCTTCAATAGCACAATGATAAGGAAGCAACAACAAAAGATAAAAGTAGTGTAAAGTAAACTCAACAAATGGATAAAGAAATTTAAAAATGAATTTGTGAAGTAAATTTTAAAAGGATGTGAAAAAAACTAAAAACAAAATAAGGAAGAAAAGAATTTGAACCCAACAAAAATATTGAAAACTAATGAGAATAACCCAGTGCACAACAAACTCCACTGCATATCCAGTGGAGTTAGCATCATTGTCAGTTGTCTTCCAGTTTTATTGACATTTCATCACTTTGTCAGCTTTGCTTACTAACGACAAATGCACAAAATAATCGAAACTCATCAAGGACATTCACTAAGGTGTATGCAATTGCACTCCTTTGCAGTTTGCAGCTTGCAGTTTGCAGTTGGCACTTACTTAAAAGACTGCAATGAGATTCCGATGAAAATTATTTGTGCACTTATTTGCATTTATTGGGATTTTCCGTTCTGAATTGTCGAGTGGATCTACTTCTCCTCAGTTCTGTTATCGATTCTTGAGCTTCCTGCCGTTTCAATTTTATTGTTGAACACTACTTTGAAGTTTGTTAACTGAGCATTCATTTCCATTTGCTTTGCTTTGCTTTGCCTTGATTTGAATTACGAATGCAATTTACTTAACTGCGATTAGATTAAATGCAATACGATCGCTTCTACAGATAGAACGCTTTGTGAAGTCCTCTATGCTTTCAGGTGTGCAGAAGAAACTTTTTGAACTTGAACGTATTTGTAGATATTGTTTCCTAGACATATTAAATCGCATTAAATCAATCAGGTGTTAAACACCTTAATCAGTTCCATCGAGTTTTTAACTCTTCAAGTTTTTTTCGAAACACAAATCAGCCAATGGATCTTTAGGCTTTAGGAACACAAATGAGAACGCAAGCCTACGGATCGTTGTTCATCCTAACCCTAAGCACAATGTAGATCAATTGAAAATATTGAATTTATGTAATTTGAAACGAATTGAAAAAAAATTATTTTCTAGAAAAAAAAAATTGGGAAACAATTAAGTTATTGGAGTTCGATATGGACATCTTAAGCGAAAACAATGGCTCCACAAAAGGACTACAATGCAATCGCACATTGAGAGCATGAACATAAATATCTTCATCCACTCAGAAAGATGATTCCAGATTTTTTATTATATCAATAGTGTGCTTATCTTAGATACTTAGAGGCTATTTTATTTCTTTTGAAGCTGGGCAGATTTACATTTGGTAACTATGGTAAAACTGCCACTTCATCAATGTGCGTTTGGTTCGGCTGTTCTATTGGTTAGAATGCAAAATCTATTTACAAGATCAATCATCATATATCATTTGACTGTCTGCAGCTGCAGAGCACATTTCAATTCATTTCCGCATTCAATACATGTCAAGATCCTAGAAGGCACCTTTCATAAAACATCGACAAAAAACATTCTCGATGCAGAATGGAGAATAGGGAAAATAAAATCTAAAATATATTTAGCGTATCTGAAAAGAGAGCTAATTAATATAAAAACGCATATCTAACATCTTAAGTCCATAAGCAGAATTAGATGGAAGAGTGTATAATGTAAAGCTATTTCAAATTGCGTGTTATGGCCACACTTGACATTACTGTACCCTGTGAAATTTATGGCATAATTTTTTCTTTATTCCCGGTCAAAGCTCATTTTTATGACCAGCTTTGTAATGCTGAAGCAAGTGTCAACTTCGTGTCACGTAGAGGCAACACAACTTGAGCTTCGAGAGGTTGTCCTGCACTCTTTCAGCCTATTTTGTGTTGTGTTATGCTGTGTTGTGTAATGCGTGTCTCTCAATTGTGTCAAGACGTATAACACATAGCATGGTATGAAGTGCATCAGCTGAAAACATCAAATACTTTAATCTGTAAACGAATCTATGCATCTACGCCTTCTATGCCTTCTATGCCTTCTGTGAACTTCTTAAACAGGCAGTTAGTCCTTAAAACTGTCGCAACAGACGATTCGTCAGTAAATCGGACAGTCTTCGTGCATTCATTGACTTGTGCAGTTGCATTCTAAGGGAAATGTCTGCATGGCAAGAACGACTTGTCGATTTTTCTGCCGTTTTCACAATGAAAATTTATGACTCGTTTTAGTTCTACTACTTGCTGACGTGTGCATGTGTGTGCTGTACTTGTCTGTATGCGAATGTATGTGAATGTATGGGGATGTATGGGGTTTTCAATGGTCTTGTGTGGCACCTGTAAAGCTGCACGTTTCCAAATCCCATTGCTGTTTTTCTATGTGTATATATTGTATATGTGTATATATATACCCATACATACGTAACGTACAAGATATATATTTGTATGATGACTTTCTGTTGTTGCTTCTTTGCTTCATTCCAAACCTTACAGTCTGGAATTTTATTTTCCAGAATATTGCATGTCCTGTTCATATATATTAAAGGAAATAAAAACGACGTCATCGGCTTGGCTGCGTTACTTTATATAAACTCCGTCCTACGCTTACCGCCCGAGAGTACTTGCACTTGCCGTTGCCATAACCGGTGGTGTTGGTGTCTGGTCGTTGTTGTTTTTGCCACTCACTTCTGGATATCCTGTATATCCTGTTAATACTTTAGATTATTTTTACTTAAACTTTATTGCAAAATGGCTGCTCTGTTTGCTTCTGTGTCATATTTTGTTTTGCAATTTGACTTTTTTCTATATTTTTTTTTCCTTTCTTTATTGTTGAGATTTTTTTATTGCTTTTTGCAGTTAAAATAAGTTTTTTTCGAGTTTTTTTGCTGGGACTGCTGGTGTTTAGCAAGGCTACATCCGCTATGAACCTATGAATTGCTGTGAATGAACTTTGCTATGTTCAGTATGTATTGTAATAATATGAAAAAGTAAATATCCTTGCTATGGCACGGAGTGGACTTGGAATATCACAATTTTCAGTACTTCATTTTATTAAAAAAATTTCATACTTGACTATGCGCGTGTATGTGTGAACTTATCATTGGGTTAAGTTATCCTTACGGTGTATTTATATCTCTTAAGACTGGGTTTATAATGTTCATATCCTGAATCTTTTTCTTTGCACATTTTATTCAGATTTTTTTGCGATACTAGACTTTTTTGTGATAACTTTTTTGTCTGTTGCTCTTTGCTTGGGATTTTGATCGTAGAACTTTGCAGTGTACTTTTATACTCGTGCAATTGCAATATTATATATGCAGCACAAATATTTTAATATGTATATGTAGCTTTACTTCCTGCTTATTATAAAAGTGTCATTGGTTTGGATTTTTGCTATTCCCACCTCCCGTTTTTTCTTTCAGTCCCTTTTTCTGTGCAACATTTTCTCTATTCCCTTGTAGATTTTTTTGTCTGACTGCCGGCCTGCGGCCGCACTGACTAGGTAAACAACAATTTTTGCTGTGCTACGCAATTTTTGTATCCAACAGCACTCAATTTCAACTTCAACTTCATATTTAATTTATAAAGGTTCCTGACTTGCTCATATCAAATTTCGTACTTTTCTTCCGATTGGGGTCTAACCAGTATTGCACATTTTGAGTACAGACTTCTTACTTTGCTGTATGCAAGTCACTTTCTTTAACTAAATAATGCACCCTTAGTATGCTTTCATTAATATTTGCGTTACTTAATATAAACTCAATTAGTTTTATTATAATTTTTTCGTTACTCCGGGGTCTGAAGCATTTGCAGTGAGATGTGCAGCACTTGTGCATGTGCACATGTGCATGGGTGCAATCCTACATTAAGTAGATTTCCTATTTGGATAAAAAATTATTTATAAGTGAATTTACTTGTATCTAATATGGGAGATCTTAAAATTACTTTTCGCTTCTGAACAAGATGTGGTTTTGTGCACAAACAATTCTAAGTTTAAGCCGCAACCACCAAAAAACTTAATTATAGTTCTGTGGAATGTTGTTGACTTAGGAGACCACGTAACCCAAAGAATGTGTAAAGTTCTGATTATTTCTGTAACAGAAAATTGAATCCATTTTAACCATTCTGCATCACTTTTGCGTTATTTCAATATGGCAGCTCTTTGATCAAACCGACAATGGAAACAGGTAATTGGTTTCTAGAAACCTTTTGAATTGAATGAGTGGAAAATTTTATTTTATGTGAAAATTTGAATCAAAAATTATAATCTTATATCAAATAATTTCAAACTCATGTGTGCATGAAAACTGAAAGATTTTAATTCTGAAACGTATTTGTTTTGGGAAATATTTCTTTCTTCGAGTAGACGAAAAAACCTCTTGGAAATGTTTCTTCTCATATACAAAGAGACATCCAAAGAAACAGAAACTTTTCTAGTAAAAAACTCTCAAAGGCTTATAACTGATATAATGTAATATGTTCTGACCATTTAATATATTGTCTAAATTCATATTTCGAAAAGATTTTCGACAGTTTATGTCTATATCAAATTACCATCAAATTTTCATCAAATATTATTAGCATTATTTATGATAATTATTTAGATCTTTGTATTATTAATATAATTAATATGTTAATTTTTTTCTTTTCATTTCAAATCAACAGAAGATGCTGTACACATCACGGCAATACTCGGAGAAGGTGTCATATTCAATTGTCACGTTGAGTTCCCGAATGATCATCCGGTGCCGTATGTCCTGCAGTGGGACAAGAAGGTGAGCGAAACGGTACGATATCACAAGTAATTTTCTTCTCTAAACTCTCTTTATTAAAGCGACCAAAAACGTTTTGTTTGTTAATTTTTTTCGATATACGTATACGTTCGTTCCCTCGTTCGTTCGTTCGTTCGTTCGTTTGATCCATAAATCAAAATAACATAGAAATGAAAACAGAAACATATCTAATGATTAATAAGACATATAAGAAAATGAATACATAAATATTTAAAAGAAATATAAACAACTATATATATAAACAAATCAGAATCTAAGTCATAATAAGTGTAAGATTTTGCAATATTACTTTAAACAACTTAGCTATGTCTGTCAATTGACAGTCGATGGCAAATACATTTTAGTAACACATCTCTAGACTTTTACTTTGTTCAATGTCACTTTTATTAGAATTTTTCCAGAATACCAATAGCCTACCTTGACCTTTCTTTATCTCCTTAAAAATGGCGCATTTTGCACTGTATACTCTCCTTTCCCTGTCATTATTCTGCCGTTCCAGAGATAACGGGTTTGTGGTAAATTTGCACCGATAGCTACTATCAAAAATTCCTTGTCCAAAAATTATGGAATTGTTTGGACGTTTACATAATTTATTTAAGTTTTATTGTAGGATGAGGACAAAATGCTCATTTCTCTCATGTTTATGTCTCAACTGAGAGTGTAAAAGAGAATTCCTTTACTTACTGTTTCCTCTTCCAAATCATTGAAATCAAAACATCAGGGAAACTTTATTTTATGCTAAAGAAGTATTCCAAAAATGGATAGTTTCAGTCAAAAATTGTTTGTCCAAAATTTTCGTGACAGTTTGGTCATTTACATAATGTACTTAGATTTCATTAAAAGGCGATTACAACGACGGATTGATGAAATGTCACATCTTAAAAAAATAATTCTGATTTCCGAAGGATAAATCTATGAATCTGCATTTAGAAAAGTTTCAGTTTATGTCTGAAAAATGTCATCAATCTTATACGAAAATCGTCAATTCAATTCAGAATATATCCTCGAATAAATCTATTTAAATCCCATCCGTTTACCATTCGATATGTGTTCATCCATTTCATGAGCTAATCCAATATATATATAGATATATATATATATATATATATATGTATTTTCCTTCATATACTTAAATAAATAAATATTGAACAAAAAACATATCGTAATTAGCAACTTTAATTCAACAAAAACTCAAGTCCCTCATGTGCATCCCCCATGTGCATCTCATTTTAGCCCCACAGCTATTAAATCTATGAACTAGCCACCACACTGAAAAAAATATTGCAGAATTTATGCTTTTTATGATGCCAACATTGATGTGTTTGTGTGCGTATGCGTGAGTGTGTGCGTGTGTTAGTTTATCTAACGACACGACACGACACGTTCACGTTCACGTACTGTAAACAACATAAATACACTGAAAAAAATTAATACAAATGAAATATACAAAATAGAAAAAAATACAATAAAAATAATATTTATCGTGAGTATTTAGCATATTAAATTAACAGCAAAAAATATTTATATATTTATATAAAAATTTTTTTAAACATACTTTTTCATTTGAAGTCTTTATTTAAAATAATTTTTATGTGTTTTTCATGAAAAAATAACAGTACAGTAAAACTTTAAACAAATATTTTAGCAAAAATATCTGTGAATTTGTTAAATTTTTATTTATTGAATTGTTTTTTTTGGTTTTTCGTTTCGTTAGTTTTGGAAAATGGATTTTCCTTTTCTGTGGATTTTGAAATATTTTAACAATAAATGTGTTGTTTAAATACTCTTAGGTATTGAGATACGTTAATTCGTTCTTTTTATATGATATTGATTAATGAAATTATAAAATTATGAAATTACATTTTATTAGAATTGGTATTTTGCGTTTTAAATTACTTCAGTTCATAATTTAAATGGCTTTTTGAACGGAGCGGCAAGTTGAAGCGAAAATCTTATCAAAAGACTGCAAATTCAACTTGCAAAACTAAAGTAGAGCAAAATCTATCGAAAATTGTTTAAAATTTAAATTTGGCAACGCTTCAGCGTTGATTTCAAGTTTTACATTCTTATATTTTTACATTTTTTAATTTAATAAATGTTTTTTTTTCTGTTAATTTATATATATTTTACAAAAATAAAAGAGACCGCATATATGACTAATTTTTTAATACATTTACAAATACACAACAAAAAAATAAAAATAATTTAGAAAATAAAAAGCTTTTCGAATCTTATATATTATATATAATATTTTTCATATATATATAAACATATATAACATATTAATATATGATTCAGTTTTAAAGTGACTTAACATTTTTTTTTCAAAGAAATAATATTATTTAATTTTCTTTTTCGTTCAGTGAACACTTTTAAATATACAAATATTTGAAAAAACAAAATGAAGTTTATGAAAAAGCTTTTTAAAATGCTTTTAGCGCAATACATAACAATACCTAAAGCTTTTTTTTTCTTTATCAAATTCATTCAAATATTAATTTTTTATATAATTAAATTCTATTATTTTCGTTTCTACATGAATAAATATTGGTTTATATATATTATTTTTAGTAATTCTTCAGTGTTTCTTCAGTAATTTCTTCAGAGTATATTACAAGGCAAGACAATTATTAAATACGACTACTGCAATAGATATTTCTGAAATGAAGGATATATGGCATTCCATGTCAAACAGTGCATATTCATTGCTTAGAAAATTATATAGATAGGGGCTATACTCATACTGATGTACAAGATCTAATATTATAGCGCCTGCAATTGCACAATTTTGTCAGTAGATGACATATCTATATACATTTTGGCTATTGGACTTAACTAATACCAACATTTAAACAAATTAAATGAGTGTTTTTTTTTTATTAAAAGAACTGAAATTCCCACTAACATACAAATACCACTGTCAGCAAGTAAAGTAACTTACCAATATTATCAATTTGTGACATGATTTGAAACTTAATCCAGCAAAGTGTTTACACTTAGATTTATCGAACTTTATGACGACATTTTTATTTTAATTTTGTAGTAGTTTTAATTGTACTTTAAGTAAGTACAATAGTCTCAACACAACATTATATTGTGAATTGCAACAATTCATTAGATGGATCTAAGACTATAATCCAAACAAATTTCGGAAAGAGAGAGAGAGATTGAGAGTAATTGGCTTATAAATACATAGATGAGTTAAAGCTTTGTTAAATGAGACTTTTGAGCTTACGAATAGGTTTTATATATCTGAGCAGCAGAATGGTATCGGAAATGACAAAAAGAATCTCTTAAACTTGAACTTTTATTACGTTCAAGGCTTCAATGAGAATTATTTTTTAAGTTTAAAAATTTTTTAAACTTCATTGTTCTTCAATAGGATTCTGTTACCGCATTTTATGACTATATATAATTTAGTCTCATGAAATTAACTATAATTATTAACTGCTTGTACTATGAAGACATGTGTTATAACAAAATAATGCAAATTATTAAAAAATTTTTAAACTAAAATTAATTTGCTTTCAATTACTTTTGTTTTGAGAATTGTCTTGCTTCGTTTTATAAAAGAAATTAGTTCCAATTTTTAATGGAAACAGTGTTATACATTATATATCATAATTTATTTATCATTATTAACAAATTAACAATCAAAAATTTTATTTTAACTTTAACAATTATTTTATTATATTTTTTAAGCTATTTCGCTATTCTTTTCTAATACTAGAACGAGTATGAAATTCAAAAAAACCAAAGAAAAAATTAAATAAGAACCAAAACATAAAAAAAAACTATACACATCGGTTTTCTGATTTGAAAAACGAATTGAATTTATTTTAAAAATTTTAAATTCTAAAGTTACTAATTAAAAAATTGATGCAAAAATTTTTTTATTGAATCCGTTAATTTTAAAATCGAACAAAAAGAGAGAGTGAGAGAAGAAACGAACCCATCATTCATTGCAATGCAAATTAATTAGTAAGAATCGTTATGAAACCCATTAAAAAGAAAACAAAAAAAAAGAAATCATCAAAAATTTAATTAAAATAGCTGTAATTAGTTTTCACACACTAAATTTGTAAGCATTAATTAAAACAAAAAAAAAAAATCAATAAAAAATTAAATTAAAAATTTAAAAAAATATATATATTATATAAGCAGTAATAAGTTAATATTAAATTACAAAATTTTTATAATACTAATAAAAATTATGTTATTCACTCACATTCTGCAGCAAATTGCATTTTTTTGTACAAATCCTTCCTTACTCTTTTACTCTTAACTTATTTATTTTATTTTGAAAATTAATTTTTAATAAAATTTTTCCATTAAATAATTCTCCTCCTTACTCAATTTGCAAACAATGAACATGCACACGCCTATATATATTATATTTCTATTAGATTTATAAGTAAACAGAAATGTATATTTAATCTTATGATTTAATCTTATAATATATATATATATTTATATACATACTAATTAAGTAATGCAATTAAAGTTAATGCCTCAATAGGAATCAGAAACTTATAAATAATTAATCTTCTTCTTTTGTTTTTTAAGAAAAATCTTAAAACTCAAAGCTTTCATAATAACTTTCATAATTATTATTATGAAATAATAATTATAATTTTGAATCAATGATATAAGATACTTAAAAGTTTCACTGTAAAACACCGTGTACCAGTATAATGTAAAATCATTTTCTACGTCCCCTTCTCTTATAATTAAAACTAAAGCATTTGAAGCATAGAAATTTTTAGTTTTGACGCATTATTTTTGCCTCCTAGAAATATGCAAGTAAAATATATTAGAAATTTTGGTTCGTCTTTACACGAATTGAAAATAAGAGGCACATAAACGAGTCAATGAGTTTAGTTTAATGTTATGTTAATGCCCACATTGCATCACAATTCAGGAAAGCAAAACTGCACTGCCACTCCTTAACATAACAGCAGTCTGTAAGACGTGTTCAGCAACCAATCAAAATG